CCGATCGGTATTAGTAGATCACGTGCAATCAATGATAATATTGAATATTATTTTCATTTAGTCGTCACCATCCAAGTATATCAAAACTATTTATCTATTCTTGATTTAACGTACTAAAAATATTGTATGAAAAATATCTTGCTAATTTAATATGGATTTCATTGTCACGTACTAGTACTAAAAGAAAAATGAGAAGATGATGAATTTTCATGTAGTATTTATATACTTAAATAATTCCATACGTCGTCATCGGATTATGACGAAACTGTAGCAGGTGGTAGCAATGGATCATTATTTTTACCATGTTCGCCAGCAAATTGAGAATATATGCACATAATACTTTCTATATGACATTTCAAAAAAAAAAAAAATTGATAATACATTATAATTTATTACAAGAGTCCATAGCCACAACTAGAGGAAATAGCATGGGCAAGTCCTTCCAATATTTTTGTAGTTTATCTCCATGATAGTAATAATAACATAAAAAGGGAAAAATATCTGTTCTTACAAAAAAAATTTGCACTGCTAAAAAATTGAGTTACAACAATAGGAGCTATGAGATAGTAGACCCACACGCAAGTATTGTATAGCTTAAAAAACTTCAAAAAATCATTATCTCAAAAGTAATTAATTAGTCATTAAAATTTAAATCATAATAAAAATCATATCAATGCCTATATTTATAAAAACTAGTCAAAGTTGAACTTGAGTTGCACGTTATTCTAAAATACTTTATAAGTGTCGTGAAAATAATGTTTGACCCTCCATTTACCATTTTGTTTTAAACTAGGTTTAAGCAACGTGCAATGCACGTTTGCTTAGTTTATATATAATTTTTTTGGTTAAGAATTAAATTTTTATTAATAAAGATGTAATTTTTTGATTAATTAAATAACTAATGATGTAATGTTTATNAGCAACGTGCAATGCATGTTTGCTTAGTTTATATTTAATAGTTTTATTTAAGAATTAATTTGTTATTAATAAAGATGTAATTTTTTTGGTTAATTAAATAATTAATGATGTAATGTTTATGTAATTGATAAATAAGTACACATTGTGATTTATTAAAAAAAAAGAGTATTAATAGAATCTATAGTATCGTCCTATATATAAACATCGCTCGTAGTTTTATGAAAGTTGTTTGAGATAATTTTGATTCTAAGATAACGGTTCAACATTTTCCTCATATTGTACTGCTTCAATAGAGATGACACTAAATTGCCTATATTTTTTTTCTTTTAGTTTCTCTGGATCTACATAA